TATGAGGCTGTAATCTTACAGGTAGGGACTATTTTTATTCATATTTGCATCTCTTGCATTGGGTGTATCTGACACATAAGTATTCTGCCTTTGAATGATTTTACTTATATAACATGAGATATAAAGAATATTAGTAAAATACATCATAGGCAGCAATATGCAGTTTTTCATTTCCTTCTTAGAATACCTTCTGTACAGTCAAATAATAGCATTTTATGCTTCCTTATTAGTCAAGTTGATGCACACATCAACTATTGTCTAAGCAAGCAGATACTGTTAATGAACAGCTAGAGGCATTCCTGGGAGTGAGATGACTTACCCTAAAAGGTTTCTCCAATTTGCAAATACCCAGGGACTCTCAGAATGACATTATATAAGAGTGTAAGATGTAGATACTGGGCACAGAAGTCTGTTTATTCCCTAATTTCTCCTTCAAGCTAGAGAACAGCAATAGGTGTGGTTGTTAAAAATAAAGCGAATCTCAATATCAATGTCATTTTATAAACTCTGGCTTTTTGAATTTCTAATGCTAGACATCAGTTGATGTGGATGGACACAGTTCAATCAAGTATAATTTTAAAATTGCCAGTAAACGATGAGAGAGGATCATTTTTCTAGAGTAGAGACATTAGAAAAGAATCCTATTTTCATTTTTGTTTTCCTGCCTTCTTTCTAACTCTACACAGGTTTGTTAGGTACTGTCTGACTTCCTCATGTGGAAAATGGGGTATAAGTGGTTGGAGAGATGCCTCAGTAGTTGAGTTTCATTCCCAACATCCACATGGTGGCTCTCAATTGTTTGTAACTCTAGTTTCAGGGGGATCCAGTGCCCTTTTCTTGCCTCCAGGCATGCATGTGGTGTGCAGACATACGTGAAGGCAAAACAGCGGTATACATAAAATAATAGTAAAAAAATTAAAGTATACTATAATACTTAAATAATATTAACAATATAATATTTATAAGGTGCTCGGAACAGTAGGTACCATGTAGCAGTTCTCAGTAAATAATGCTACTAAAAAGATAATAAAATCCTTTTTATAGTCTTTGATTAAATAGGTTTTAAGTGTCCTAAATCAATCAGAGAAAAGAAACCATGCATTACAGAAGAATGAACATGTGAGTCTTAGGCAACTCCTGTGAGGAAGCAGTTTCTACTAAAGGGGATAAAAAGCTTTTGAAGGTACTGAAATGGTTCGGGCCAAGAATAGGTCTATTCCAGTAAAAAGTGGGGATGGCAAAGAAGCAGAAAAAGAAAAAAAAAATCTTTAGTTTGCAAGCCAGTGGCAGTTCTCAGAGCCTCTGTTCTAATTTGTGAACACATTAACAACTTAACTTGCTTTATAATATGATGAAATCACAGATGTATTTGACCAGCTTCAGACTCTAATAAAATCTTCTGTTTTCTTTTAGCCAAGTAGGAAGCTGGCTACATTTTCTAATAAAAAAAAATGCACACACTTGCTGGCACTCTCCAGAGGAACTGTTATTTCAAGTGAAAGACAGACATGCTTCATTCCTGGGAAACATCTGAGCTCTGGTTTACCCCCTTCATTCTCCTGTTGGAAGTGCCACAGGAGACTGTTAAGACAGCGGTAAGAAATCAACCTACATTTAACATCAAATATAGATACAAGATTAATAACAGGCTGGCATTTTCTGCTGCACCAAGATATACTTCAAGACTGGAAAAAAATACAGCCCTGTTATGACTGTTTTTAAAAGCAGTCACCAAGGGATCCAAAAATAGCCACTATTTGAAGTTGAGGCCGTCTGACATATCAGACTCATTACTGCAGTCTGAGTACCAGCATTTGATACTATTTGCGATTCTCAAGTAGGCCATTAAGAAAAAGCTGGATAAAAAAGAACGGCTGTGTTAACAGGCCTCAAAGTGATTCACACATCTCCCTATTCATGTTATAGAAGGCGGGATTTATGTTGGGATATAGAAAAGTCATCAGGGAGTCATCCCAGGTAGTTACTGCAGATGTGCTTTAACTCTCTGAGGCAGAAATGCAGTGGTTGGCCAAAGCTGTAGAGAAGGTTTTCACAGCAGAGCCATAGGGATGGAGCTAGTTGAACAGGTAGGGGTGATGGCAAATTTGTAATTCTACATACAATTTTACATCATAACTAAGCAAAATATTCAAAATGAAAGGAAACATTTAATTTTCTTAAGAATGCACAAGTTATTTTTCTTAGAGTCTTAAGCACTTAGAGTATCTTTTCCAAACACAAGTACACAATGATTGTATAGTTTCTTTAATTAGTAGAGAGTTTGTGGTTTAAAAAGAGGAAATGCCAGTCTTTGGAATCAGCCCATGGGGCCTCTATTAAATTGTGTCCCAATATTACTGGTTGGTAAACAAGGATACTATGCAAGGTCTGACCATGGTAGTAGCTTCTGTTTGCTTCCAATGAGAAGTGACAAATTGTTGTGTGTTTTAGTTTGCTTTCAACAGCTGTGCTAAAATACTGACCATAAACAACTTGGAGGAGAAAGGATTTATGTTGCCTTCTAACTCCCAGCTCACGATCCATCACTGAGGGAAGTCAAGGCTGGAACTCAAGGCAGGAACAGAGGTAAGAACCACTGAAGGGCTCTGCTTCCTGGCTTGCTCTCTCATTCATCCTCAGCTGATTTTCCTATACAACCCAGGCACACCTGCTCAGGGGTAGCACCACCCACCGTGGGAGGGGTCCTCCCTTATCAAACATCAATCAAGAAAATGCCCCCATGGATTGCCATAGGCCAATCTGATTGAGGTGATGCAATGGAGACTCCATCAGATAACTTGGCTGTGTCAAGTTGATAGCTAAAGCTAACTAGGAGAGTGTGCCTAAAGAGAATATTTCCCACAGTGAAGGTATGCCAGGAGAGCTGTCATCTTGTCCATATGCTATTCTTAAATGTTCAAGATTTCAGAAAAAAAATAATTTGAGTGTGTATCTGGCATATTCAGAGTAGCCCAATCTTTCAAACGTATGAAGTATTAATAATTTTTGGTAATTTCAGACTCCTTCCTGCTCAGAACACGTAGTGCAGATAGATGAGAAAGGTGCAGCATTTCTTTTTGCATTCGGCAGTGCAAATGTGGTTGAACAATGGGACCATAGGGCTGACTTCATCATTTTCTACCAATTTATGTACCAATTTTATGGACCCCTAAAGAGATCTAGGAAGTGTCTCAACAATCATGTGGCACAGCCCTTGCCTTCAGCAGGTGACATTTGATTCATCTGCATAGGATAAATCCAGGGACCTAAAACCAATAAGCCATATTTGAATAAATTTCACTATTACATCAATTCTGTTGAAACACAGATCAAACTGTCATATGGACATTAAACAGAATGCTGAAAGTCACACACGATTACCTTCACTGCATGTGCACATTTGATCTACGCTCTAATGGGAATTCATTATATATTTATCCATGACAACTTACAAAGCAGTTAATTTACTAGTTGTAAAACCCCACTTAAATAACAATCCCCCAAAGTTAACAAAAACTCAAAATTATGCTGATATCTCGCCATATCAAATCTGCAAGGTCACTTTTAATGGGTATGTGGAGGCCAGTGAAGTGAGAGAGAACAGAACATCATTTTCCGAGCAAGACCTTCAAAGATCCAAGGCAGAGGGAGAAAGATTAAAAGACTATCACGATGGCTGGAAAGAGCTATCAAGAGGCAGCAGGCACCTGGAAAAGAACTTCTTTTCTAGCTTGAAGAGCAGAAATACATTGGCACTGCCCTCCGAACGGGAAGGCAACCAAATTTTAATTGGTTTTAAAATCTGGATTGGAACATCCCTGCAGTCATCCATGAACTGACCTTATCCTGTAGACGTTGAGTGAATCTTGGCCAACCACCTGCCTTGTGAATTGTTTTGTTTGGGTCTTTCGTGGACAGAGTCCTTGCTTTGCAGTAGTTTCGCTTCAAGTGACAATCCTTCAAAACCTTGTTTGAGCAGAGAATTCAGGAGGAGAAAAACATCTGGGGAGGGGGGATTTTCCAATGCTCAATGCCTTGCTCTGGGGGGCTGTAAGCTGCCACTTGCTTTTCTCCATACCTAGCATGATGGTTTCCAGGTGAGAGAGGTTGGTTTTCGCAGTGCCTACAGAGGCGGAACTCTACTCCTTGAAAGCACTTGGTTTTTCTCACCATTCACCATGGGGAGAAAGATTAAGGGATGTGATCAAAGGGATTATTCAGCAATTCCTAACTCCTCAAACAAGAGAGTAAATTATCTTGTAAATTAAATCCCACTTTCTCAGCCTGGAAATAATTGGAGTAAGCCTCACTGAGAACTTCCAGTATTTGGATTTGAATGGTTGCCTAGCAAATGAGAAAGGCAAAAGAGCAGGAAAACCAAATTTAGCTGTCTAATAATAGTTTTGATATGCAGAGTTTTCAGTTTTAAGATATGATTTTAAATATATTACTGAGAGATGCCAGGTCTTGACTCCACAGGGTTCTACAATCTTCATCAGGAGGTATCATTTCAAACTGAATCTCAACAGAATGGAGTCCCTCCTGGAACTACAGAAGCTACAGGAAATGAAGAGGTCTGCTATTTGTATAGGAACTGTAGGTGGGGGGAATCATATTTCAGAGTGTAGAGCTCAGGGTCAGATTTAAAGTTTTCAGAGCATAAGCCATACTGTGGTCTCCATTTATGCTAGAGGGTATGTGCTACAAGGAATAATACACTGGTACACATTTAGGTGATTTGAACACAACCTTGTGATATATTGTAGGGCTAATTAACATGCACACACACACACACACACACACGAGAGAGAGATAGAGAGAGATAGAGAGATAGAGAGATAGAGAGAGAGAGAGAGAGAGAGAGAGAGAGAGAGAGAGAGATAGTGCTAGTCCACAGTAAGTAGTTTCTGGATGTTGCCTTCTAATATCAACTGAATGTTGCAAAGCAATAGAGAGAAGAAAATATGCAGTACCATAAATCCCAAGACTTTGACACTCACCTATAACACAGAAAGGCTTTCGAGCGAACCTCAGTCTTCCTTGCCATCCTCGATAACGACAACAGCAACCTGCAGACCAGATTCGAATGATGAACTCCAAGCCAAAGACAACGATCATCACGAACTCCTAAAATATCAGAACAGATGTCAGAGAGAAGCATGATAGAGGAATCTACGCTAAGAACCTGTGTGACTATTTCTGCACCTTTAAGTACTGTGCTTGGAAACATCTGGTTGATGTCTAAAGAACTTTCTTCTTTACTAGTCTGAAGTCTACAGAAGCCTCCTATTTTCCATGTCTCCTATTATGGAATATATGCCTCCTCAAGTCTTTAACACTGTGAAAGAGTCAATTGTAATAGGAAATGTGAAGGTTGAATAGTAATGTTTTCTCACCTTAGATATATACCATAGCTGGCTTCACTTCTTGATAACATGAAAAGAGTGATCCCTGAAATACAACAGCAAGTGCAATAGACACTAGAGCTTCATGGTGCTGAGGGAACGACACAATCCCTAAGTTTAAGAGTTGCTCTCTGAGAATAAGTTCAGGAGTAGTCAGCCCTTTGTTACAGTCTTAAAAATCTTTAAACACAGGCAGTTTCAGATGAATAACTGTGTGTGTGACACATATATCTGCTGTCAGAAGTTAGGCTCAGAATCCTCCAGATCTGAAGCGTGGTAATTATCATGCTGCCCTTTGGCAATAGCTGCTTGGAAAACAACACCTGCGCCAGCAAAACGACTGGGAGAGTATTTAGGAAGGGCTGTGCGTTAACCCTGGGGAAGGGCCGAGTACATCAGCTCTTAAACAGGCAGTTGCAGAGGAGGTTTGCAAAAGAGAATTATTCTGGAGAAGTCTAGCAAAGTCACTTGTTCCACAGGGACAGATTCTGAGTTTATTAAAATTGGTTTGTTTTAAAAGACAAGGAACGACCTTCGTTGTTGGAAGAATGTCAAGGATTGTCATTATTTATAATATAGATGATGCATATTAAGCAAGTTTATTATAATGGATGGATTATAAAATTGACACATGGTTTATGTTAAAGCTGCCTCACATCACAGAAATGTAGATTGTAGAAATATCAAAGTTCCAACCCATTTTTCCATTAAGGTAAAGTTGTTACCAAACTCATGAAAACCATACTTTTGTACATGCTTCATGCAAACATGTCTTTGGTTTATGTGGTGATATGCTATGCATTTGACATGCCCCCTAGAGGCACAGTGTTTTATCTTCCTGTTACTCTGCACCAAGAAATCCACAAACACTTCTCATGATGAGAGAGCAATCCCCTGTAGCATCATTACTCATGATTACTTAAAACTACTTTTTGGGTCAATATCTGCAAATGACTTATGCACAGATGACCAAATCTGTGTCCATATACCAATAGTGATGATCTGAGGGTTTTTATTTAGTTTTTGCTTTTTTGTGTTTTGAAAGCTTATGTGAGTAGAGTCTATTCATTTATTAAGGTGTCAAACTGTTACATCATCTGTTTTTAATAGCACATTTTTTTCAACATTATACAAACCATGCTCAAGTATAAAATGCCCATTTATCTAAGCTTGTGCACAACCTAATTTTATTATCAGCCCCCTCCCCTGCCCCTATTATTCTTTCCCTGGATTCCCACTTCTATCTAGAAGTTTAGTACTCCAGTTGTGAGAAGTCATACGGTAGAGAATGTTCTTCCCACAAATCCAAATGTGTGGCTTTGTAATGTAATGATGCTTCTGTTTCATGTGAATAGATAACTGAGGGGTCAGTCTCTGTTCAGATGGTGTCACTAAAAGACAGGGAATGTGAGAAGTGCCAACACCTTCTGTGGCTGTTTGAGCAGACCCAAGTCTCTGGAACACTAGATGACTCATAATGGAGTCCCAGCTAACTGCAGACCCTCTAATTTGGCACCAAAGCACAGGACATTGCCTGCTTCCTGCCCTTTGTCTGCAGATACACTACCTGGACATACTGCCTTCTCTCCCACACACACCCTCACATAACACAGGTTGCATGTCATTCGGGATCATTGGACAGTAACTTGATATGACCATAGCTGATTCGATAATGTATGCATATATCCAGTGAACATACACTTTAAACAAGATCTGCACCTTCATGCCAGTCTTTGGAGCCTGCTTCCAGGGAAACTCTTTGACTCCATCTCCCTCCCCCTACCCCCACGGAGCCACAGGTGAGAGGGAGAAAAAACCCACAGATAACACCAATAGACACATGAGCATTGTTCTTAAGATGAGGATGCTAAAATCACTGCTCTATTTCTATGCTGTGGTGAGGCAGGACCAATTATGTCTACAAATTCTTTTTTTAACACCCATTATCCAGGAATATGGATGAGTGTTTACTGGTTTTATTTTGTTTTAAAAAGAAATTAGGAAGAAATGCCAATAATGCTTTCTTTGTGAAAGAAAAGTAAAAACTGTTAGAACTGCACAGAAACCAGAGAAATCCAGTTATATTTGGGGGCATCACCATCCCCTTCCTTAAAAGTAATAGAATAGGACTAGCAGAAAGAAGGTCAGTAAGAATAAATATATCTAATAACCAAATGAAATGGGATCTAGGTAGAGATTTGCATCCTCCACAACCACAACCGAATATGCATCTTCATGTTACAAATTTCTTCATTTAATTCTTTTGTTCATTAAAAAATTCAAGATATACCACATTCTAGGCTGTCAACAAACTTCAGCATTGAAAAGAATGAAATCATGTGGACTGTGTTGTCAAATTATTAGGGAATTAATTATAAATCAATAGTAGAAAGACAAGCAAATCTCTAAACATGTGAAAAATTTAAAAAATACACTTTAATGTATTTTATTAGTCAAAGGAAAATCTCAGTGAAAATAATAAAATATAAATAACTGAAAGAGAATAAAAATACATCCTATCAAAATGTACAGGTGCAACCACAGCAGGGAGGAGCGTACATTTACATCACAAAATGCTTACATTCAAAAATCAAGGTCTCAGACTAATAATCTAGGACCACCATTAAAAAACTGAAGATAGAAGAATAAAATTGGTCTAAATAAAGAAGAAAAGGGAAATAGCATACACGAGAAGAAGAAAGTAATGAAATAAAAAGGAAATAAACAGAAAATCCATGAAACAAAAACTGGCTCTATGAAAATGATCAATAAAATTGGCAAATCTTTTGTAAGCTGATAAAAATCACCAGTCTCATGAATGTCATAGCGGGTGTCATCACAGACACGGTGGTCACGAAAAATCAATAAGAAGTCTTTAGGGATGTAGCTGCTGATAGACCAGAAGACACACTCTCACAGCAAACTCCCTGATCCCTTGGCTCTTACAACCTTTCCATGCCTTCTTATACAGCAATGGTCCCTAAGCCCTAGGTGCAGGAGTGTTTTGTAGATATATTTATTGGGAGTGGGCTCCACAACTCTGCAGTTTGATTGGTTATAGTGTTGTGTGGTGGTCTCCATTTGTTGTAAAGAGAAGTTTCCGTGCTGAGGGGTAAAGGTTACACTTACTACCTGTGAGTATAAGGACAAATATTTAGAATGTAGTTAGGGATTATGCTGGTTTAGTAAAGTGGTGGTTGTAGGTATTTTCCCAGAGCCATGACTTCACTAGTACTGAGTAGTTGGCTAGGTTTCCAGTACCAAGCATGATTCCTTCTTGTTGAGTGAGCCTTAAGTCCAATTAGAGAGCTGTTGGTTACTGCCAAGGTATATGTGCCACTATGGCATCCTTACTTAGGGTTATTGTGCCATGCTGGTCATTGTGTGGTTCATAAATACAGAAAGTCTTACTAATGTGATTGCCTAAACATGAGCTGAACAAGAATGGGGGAAAGCCTATAAAGCCTCCACCTTAGACAAAGAACTACAGCCACCTAAGGAATGCTAAGAATGGGACAAATTGTCTTTCCCAAGGAAGAGCATACCAATTTGTTTCCCAGTAACAAACAGTTAGCCCTGAAAACATACATACAGGTAACAAACCGACTGAGTAGGCTATATTTAGGAATAAATATGCATGTACATATGTGCATGTAACAACAATTAATGAGAAAAGAGGCCATGAAGTTGAAAAGAGCAAGTATGGGAGGGTTTGGGGAAAGGAAAGCATAGGGGAAAATGATGTAATTATATCATAATTTCAAAAAATAAAAGAAGTAATTAAAACCTGATAAAGAGATGCTAGAAATAATGGTGCACAGATAAATTTGACAATTCAGAAAATTGGACCAAAGCCATGAAAACAAAACAAATAATAATTTGAATAGTTTTACAATCTCTGAAAATTTGAATCCATAATTAAAAAGCTTTTGTAAAAGCTGTGTCTGGGCTAAACAGTTTCAATATTGAAATCAACTAAATAGGTAGAGAAAAATCATGCCAGTTCTACACAATTTTTCCTAGAATAGAGAAAACAAAACAAAGCTCTATTTTTCTCATCCAACTTCACACAATTTCTTCCAGAAAATAGGAAACATTCCCAATTCTTTTTTCTCCCATTGAGACAAGTTCTTGGGGGCTAAACCATGTTGGCTTGGAGCATACTGTACAGCTCAGGCTGGCTTTGAACTTGTGACTCCCACTGTTCTACCCTTTGAGTACTGGGACAAGAGGCATGTGTCAATAGATGCCCTGTGCCTAGTTCACTGGTTAAAGAAACCAATTTTCTAGCTATGATGTCTAAACTGGTCTTGAATTCCTAAGCTAAAGCTGTACCTTGCTGAACAGCTGAGACTACAGGCATGCCAACAATGCATGACTAAAGCTAATAGAAAAATAAAGTAGGGGCTGGAGGATGGTCCAGTGGTTAAGAGCACATACTGCTCTTCTGAGGACCTGAGTTCAATTCCCAGCACCCACACAGGTGGTTTACAACAGCTGGTAATCTCAGCTCCAGGGGGATCTCACACCTCCAACCTCTGTGGACACTTGCACTCATGTGCACATACCACATACACATACACACACAATTGAAACAATAAAAATATTGAAAAAAGAAAAATAAACTAAAATCATAAACAAATATTTCTCATGAACTTAGACATAAAAACTTCAATAAAATATTAGCAAACCAAACCTATCAGTCTGTAAAAAATATGACAA